AGGCATCACTGGGGCCTCTTTCATAAATAAGCGCACTAATCTCACTCATGAGGGCTCTGCCCCTATGACCTAATCACTTCCCAAACACTCTCAACTCAACTGAGGGGAAGGATCTCAATGTATGAATTTTGGGGGGTGCGAACATTCAGACTACAGCACTCTCCCAGCCACAATTCAAAATGGAAACACTGACAGCCGCTGACTTACCCGACAGACTTCATACTCTTTCTTGGCCTGTCTTAAATACCCTCATGCTTTAAATTACCATTTGTTACCAGTAAACTCAGTTTTTTTTTCTCTTAGAGATTGCTGTTACTTTACTAATGATTCGTTCTTGATGTTATAGGAGGAAATTAACTATGAGACCAAACAAGGATCAGCTTCATTTGAACAAACCTGGTGAATTGTCAGCCTTATGGTGTAAGACAACACAGAAAAATCAATACTGGAGAGTTATTAATGAAAAAACAAAAACCCTTATAGTTTATTAACAAAATTCATATAATAATATTCATTTTAATTATCATTTCCTTCTCTGTAAATATGACTTGCTAACTTACTATGATCTTTTATAGACAGGGAAAAGTGGACATACTTCAAAATCTTTCTGATAAATATATTGCTGTTCTGCATCCAGCTTGGATAAGGCCCTTCAAGATGGCATATGCGGGAGCCTGTGAAAAACAACAAGCAAATAAAAGAAACACGTTTTACGTTCGTTTCTAGTTGTAAGTTTTAGGGATGGAAGGGCAGGGTTTGGATTTCTCTGGAGATGAAATAAAATCTGAGAAGCAATTTAATTTGGAAAAAAGCCATTAAAAAAGATCAGAATGCCTCTGCTACTGCCAAAACACTGGAATCATCTGGTTTCTCACAGGAAAATGGAAAAGGATAAGGAATGAAGCAAGAAACAAGATTCCCAATCTGGAGCAATGCTTTTGCTTGCTTTTCGTCAAAGCAACGTCACTGGTTTTCTTCCCTTTGGCAGGAACTATAAAATTTATTTTTCTGGAAACAGAAATCTCCTGCCCCCTCAACCTTCCGGATAAGGTGCCCCAAAGCACTACAAGTCACAGCAGGTTCCTACCAATTCTGCGTCATGGTCAAGGCCTATGTCATGGTGCTCAAGCTCTTCATCCCGAAATTTCTTTATCACCTGGTTAAATAAAAAGAAACCAAAGCAAGTCAGCATTCCAACTCTCCTGCTGTTCCATCTTATTTTGGAGGCTAAAGCCTCATATTATAGTCTAAGACAGGGTAGGCCAACTTTTCCTATAAAGGGCCAGAACGTAAATCCTTTAAGCTCTAAAGGCTGTGCAGTCTCTGGCCCAACTACTCAACTCTGCTACTGTGGCCCTGGAAGCCGCTGAAGCCACGCAAACAAATGGGCGTGGCTGTGTTCCAATAAAACTGTAAATTGTTATTTACAGAAACAGGTGGTTGGCCACGGACCATAGTTTTCCAACCTCTGATTTAGACTTTAAAAAATTAAATAGTTCCCTTATTTACTGTGAAAAATTATCTGAGGATATCTATTAATTCATCATTCTTTTATTTAATCTAAAGGGCTCATGCTCACAGCATTTGCTCAGGAGAATAAAGAAGTGGAGAGAATGCAGGCAGCACAGGGCTCAGGAGTCCCAGCTCTGCCCGAACTGTGTGACCAGAGCAGACAGCTTCACTTTCTGTGCCTTAGTTTGCTCATCTTTCAAATGAGTCACTGAGCTGGATATCTAACCTTCCATCATCCCCTAATATTCTCTCATATTTTTTCTTTTTACCCATGTGCATACCTGTTCGTTTTCCCCTTGAGCAGCCCTTTTCTAGAGTATAGTCAAATACCTGAAGAAGTTCCTCGTATTTTTCGGGGTCCTTCTCCATCAGCGTCCTGATCTGGTTGTTGTAGTGATGCGCTATGCTCTCCTCCACCGCTACCGTGCAGGCCATCGCGCCTTCCTTCCCCAGCAAGGCAGTCCCTGCCCCTGGAGTTGTTAAACCCAGAGGAGGAAGGTAAGGGATGGATACACTGGCAACAGAGATCATTTCTGGTCAGGGTTCCTCGACCTCAGCACCACTGACACTGGGGTTGGGTCGTTCTTTGTGGAGGGGGCTGTCCTGTGCATTATATAATAGGGTATTTAACAGCATCCCTGATCTCTACCAACTAGATGCTAATAGCACCAACTAAGTTGTAACGAACAAAACTGTCTTTACATATTCCCACCTGTCCTCTCGGGGGGACAAACTTGCCCAGGTGGAGAATCACTGTTTTAGGTGGTACCAGATCCTAGTGTTAAACCTTGAATCACATAGTAAGAAAGCTATTCTCTTTTCAATGCTCTTTTAACCTTCTGATTAGGGCCAAGATAAAGTCTGCGTTTGCAGGGAGTACTCTTTGATCTGCTGTATCACTTACTCTTTTCCCTTTTTAAAAGAGTGAACAAGGAGGCCGGGTGTGGTGGCTCACACCTGTAATCCTAGCACTCTGGGAGGCCGAGGCGTGTGGATTGTTTGAGCTCAGGAGTTCGAGACCAGCCTGAGCAAGAGCGAGACCCCGTCTCTACTAAAAA